AAGTGCTATTCTAAATGGCAACAGCTGTTGCTGTCATTACCCAAAGGAAGGTGTTTCAGGGCAGAGTAGCCCCTGTGCAGTCCTGCAGCCATATTGGCCCGAGTTGGGGAAGGCTCTTGGACCGGGGTGCACGTAGCGCCAAAGGACAGCGGAATACCAGTTGGGTCTTTCAGCCCTGGGAGGGAAAGTGAACTGGGCCTTTGGCTTAAAGACCCCGAATCCGGGAGCTTCAGGAACGGGCGTGGCAGCTTCCTTCGGTTTGTCTTCCTATCTGATAGACTTTCCTGGGAATTAAGATCAGGGCAGGGTCGACATTTGCCACAGGCGGAGATTCTTTTTGTGCTGTGCTGGCACAAAGCCCCCACTGTGAGTAAATCTGAAGGCCGGGCCACAATCCTTGTGTATCCATGGGGGTGGCCAGTTGGGTCTGTCTGAACACTCCGTCTAACTCACTGGCTGGGGGGCTGGTCGTCCTCTCGTCTATGACGTCACCTCCTCCAGCCACCACGAAGCGGTCAGGGTTCTGCAGGAGACAGACGGGGCTCTAGTTAAGCCCTGTCGCCCTGGCAAATTGCTGGCTGCCTCTGAGCTTCAGCTCCCTCTTCTATGACAAAAAAAAAGGGGGAAAAGGTTTCCACTCAGAATTTTTGGGAGGAATAAACAAAATCAAAATTCTCCGAGTGTCTTTAGCATAGTGTCTGACGATAGTTAATTGTCTTCCTCCTCCCAAAGCCAATGACACCAGCATTTGTGTCTCTGGACAGGGGGGCTGTTTCCTTCCGAGGAGGAAGCTCCCAGGTGGGAGCGCCAGGTGGCGTGGAATGGCTGCCGAATGATGCCGTCCTTTGTCATTCCTCACACCCAGGAGGCCCCGATATTTGAAGTCTTAGGGGTTTTGCCTTGAAAGATAAGAGCACTTCTCTGCCTCCAAAACACAGCAGCTCACATTCAAGGCAGAGGAAACCAGAGAAAGCCACAAAATATCCTGGGGACCCTTGAAAATTGGGGGGGAAAAAAAACCAAAACAGTATTTTTTTTTCAGCCAGCAGGAGCACCAGGCCAAACAGAGCTCACGGGACACCCGGAAGGAAGAGTGTTGGTTGCAAACAGTTCTTTGGGTGAGTCCCAGAGAGCCTGAATGCAGAGCAAGCTTGTCAAAAGAGGCGAGGTGAGAAAGGTCTGAGTAGCTGGACAGGATTGAGAGGTGAAGTCCTTCAGCCCAACCCGCCATTAGAAGACACTGGAAAGTGTTGGCAGTGAGGAAGTCTTCCACTTCACTGATTTACCTGAATGATAGTTTAATGCTTCCAGACATTTGGCTTTTGATAGTGTGGCCCCCAGCCAAGAAGAGGCAGAGGAAATGGAGCAGAGAGTGTTGCTGGGAAACAGGCAGGAAGGAGTCCTTGCCCACCGGGCTGCGAGCGACCGTACCAGGAGCTACCTTGGCTTGAAGATGGTGTCCGATGAGAAACTCAGGGCTCCTCAGACTTCAGCCGGTGGCCTCTGGCTCCCCCAGGGGCTGCTGAGGAGGCAGCCCCCGCCTGACCCCCCCGCCCAGCCTAGGCTGCTGTCTCCTCCAGGCAGCCAAAGGAGATGAGCTCATTTCCAGAACCCACGAGGTGGCTCTGACCCCACCTTGCCAGTTAGTGCTGGAGCTGGGCAGTGGAAGGCAGGCAGGGCCTCGTGCTGGCACCAGGCCAGCCCTGCGCCAGGCAGATCTGCTGACTCACCGCCCCCTTCTTCTAAACAAGCCCTAGGAGTTGGCATGCAGGAAGCTGCCCCAGGAGCCGGATGGCTGAGGGCTCGGCCACCTGGCGGAGAGCGAGGCGGGGCGGGGACTTTGGGGAGAGCAACGCTGCTCTCCCCAGCTCCGCAGGAGGTGTCGCCCACCCGCCACCCCAGTCCCACCTCCCACTCACTGCATGGGGAACAAAAATAGGTGCTTGCCCAGGGGTTTCAGGACTCCCTTCACAAGTAGGAACAAGCATATCACACGAGGGAGTGTTGCAACAGGAGAAATCTGCTTTGCATGAGAAAAATGGATAGCTTGGATAGCCTTCAAAAGCTATGCCTGGTGTATGTTAAAGTCTAGTGGCTTCTAAAAAAAAAAAAAGAAAAAAGCCATACAATAGGGTTTGAGAAACAAGCACAGAGACGTATAAAGTATAACACAATAATTCCCCTCTCCTATCCCTAGATATCTGTACATCTAACAGATAAAAGTATTTGATTAGATAAAATGTAGGGTCTGGTAGAAGCAGCGCCATTGAGGGTGGCTGGTAGGGTATGCAAATGTCTCGCACAAGATGGACAGCACCTTGAACATTTTACCTACAATGTCCTATGGTGTGCTTAAAAGATTTTTATGTAATAAAAAGGGGGCGCTATTTGTACCAGACCCCTGTATATGTACAAAATGGTACAACATGAAAAGTGACAGTTCTCAGCCCCTTATTTATTCCTCTTCCAAAGTCACTGCTTTTAAGAGTTTCTTTCCCAGGGGAAACAAGTTTGTGTGTACAGCTCCATGTCTGCGCTTAACTATTTATGACATGCAGGCATGGCGTCAGGTTTGCACAGCTCCATGGGACAGCAGCCCCGTTGTAGCTGCTGGTGCCTCGGGCGGGGGCGGCGCTGCCAGGGCGTACAGTGGGAAGGGTGCCCAGGCAGAGTTACGAGATGCGGTAGGAATGCTCTTTCCGCTTCGTAATCTATCCTGGAGCTCTTTCCAGATCAACACATAGATCTAGCTCATTTATTTTGTAATCCCACTTCATAGATCCCATTGTTCGGACGTTCCAATTAATATCCTTGTGCAGATATCTTTTCTTTTTAAGAGTTTATTTATTTATTTAAAGAGAGGGGAAGGGAGGGAGAAAGAGAGGGAGAGAAACATCGATCGCTTGCCTCTTGCACAAGCTCCAAGCCTCAGGTCTGCAACCCAGGCATATGCCCTGACCAGGAATTGAACTGATGACCTTTCGCTTTGCTGGAGGACGCCCAACCAACTGAGCCACGCTGGCCAGGGCTCCTTGTACAGAGATGTTAGTGAACCTTCAAGTGTCCACAGAATAAACACTTAGCAGTGGGATTCCTAAACCCGTGGCACATACATTTTAATTTTATAGTTAATGTCTAATCAGTAACTCCATTATAAGTAACAGCCACTCCAAGGGACAAAAGTGTTTTGCTGGTTTTATTCATCCCTGGACTAAGGTGGAAAGGACTGACTTGACATTGGAACAGGATCCCTCATTACTACGAGTGGTCTTGAGTGTGTGTGCGCACAGACCGGGGGACGAGAGAGAGGTGGACTGGATGAGAAAGAAGAATAAAGGCGATTCTTTGGAATTTAAGAAGGGCTGTCATCCTAACCATTGATAAGGAAAAAGGTGAACAAAGGGGTATAAAGCCTGCATTTAATGAGTCCCTGAACCTCTGCTAGAGCCACTGAGTAGCTCAGACACAAAGTGGGAGTTTGCCCTGGGCTAGACGTGTTCAGAGTATTTGCTAGGATTTCCTCAGAGGCGCCATTATTCAACGTGTGCTTCAGTTACCTACGGCAGCTGTGCGTAGCAATTTATTATGATTACTCATGGTTCTGTGGGCTGACTGAGCTCGGCTGGGTGGCTCTCCCTTGGGGTCTTTCATGACATTACAATCATATGTGGGCTATTGTTTTGATTGGAATTGCCCAAAGTAAATGGTCACTCCGCCACTCCAACTTCCTGTAGATTACTGTCCAACTAAAGAGAGGAGGGTGGAGGGTTGACCATTTGTCTCTGGGTCACAAGAGACAGATACCCACTCAACATGACTTGAAGAAGAGGGAATTGATTGACTCAGGTAACAATGTTTAGGCACTTTGCAGGAATAGCTGGGTCTAGTGGTTAAAAGAATGCTATCAGGAGCTTGTTTCTCTCCATCTCTCAAATTTACTTTTCTCTCTCTTGACTTCTTTCTCAAATAACGTCACCAAGAGCTCCAGGCTTAGGATTAGCAACCTTGGCAGGCGGGGGCAGGGGACTCTCTCTCATAGTAGCTTCAGCATCATCCTGAAGTTGTTGGACTCGGGTAACATACATTGTCTTTGAAAGCAATCTATTTCCCTATTGGGAGTAAGTCACTATAAAGTGAAATAAATACACTTCACATGGTTTCTATGTGTCAGGCACTGGGCTGTGTATTTTACATGCATATTCCACTTTCTTTTTATAATATTCCTGTGTAAATAGTTACTACTATTAGCCCGACTTCAGAACAGAGCAAGTCAAGTTTAAAAGACATTAAGTAACTCAGATATTTCAAGGACAAAATCTTTGCGGTAGACTCTATACTGTGAAGTCCTGCCAGCCTATGATTTGTACCCATTGATCTTACTTTTGTAATTTTGGAATTATTTGGATAAGTTCTTCAAATTATTTTTTAATTGCAAAATATTCTTTTAATAATAATAGATACTCAGTGTTGGAAAGGTTTGGAGAACTGGGCACTGTGTTACCCTGGAGGGTAAATGAGCACAGCCGTTTCTGAGGAGTGTGAACGCGTGCATACCCTGCAATTCTACTTCTAATAATGTATCCTGAGGAAACGATCAGGAATGTGCGTACAGATTTAACTACAAGGTTGCACGTTCTATCACATTGCTGATAAGAAACTGGAGACAATCTAATAGCGGATTGTTGAAATAAATACAGAAATACAATGGGATACAAAAAACAATGGGGTGCATAAGATGAATATCTAGGGACAGGAGAAGCCAGTCTGTTGCTAAATGGAAGAAGCAAGTGGTAAAAGAGTACAGTATGAGCTCATATTTGTTTTAAAAAACCATACATGTATATATACAGTAGAAAAACTTTGAAAGGATATATACTACATTATTACTATTGGCAATCTCTGGATGGTGGAAATATGAGGGATTTAAAAAAAGTCCGTACTCATTTTGGTACTTCTCTGCAATGAATGTGTTCTATCTTTGTAATTGAAAAAGGAAAGATAAGACTATACTTTCAGGGATCGTTTCTATCATTTGTTACTAGAGAAGTTCCTCTGAACACGTAGAGCACACGAACCCACGAGGAAGAGATGGCATGTTCTCTCCTGAGCGGGAAGCCGGATCTTGGTGTTGCTTCATTAGCTGCCACCTGCCATTGGTGATCATTCTTCTCTCTCTTTTGAGAGAACAAAAGAGAGAGAACACCGTCTGGGTGGTAGAAAGAAAAAAAAAAGTAAAAGGAAAGCAATGTCAAAGCCTAATTTTAAAAACTGCTTTGCCTAGGCTTGGCCATGGGAGGGCCATTGGCCCCTACAGGCATCTACTTGGTTTTGTTCCTTCTGACCTGAGTGGACAATTCTCACAGTTGTTTTTCTTCAAATGCCACAATCATACCCACTGGACTGCTTATCTGGGAAAGAGTTCTCCATTTCTGCTAGAGCCCAGTGGGGCCTGGGTCGGGGGAAGGAGGAAGCAGGCTGATTGTGACCCTGCTGCGGCCGCCCGCGGGGTGGGAAGCCCTGAGAGTAAGCTCTGGGGGGACAGGGCGGGGTGGGGGGCAGACAAGGCAAGAGGAACCAGAGGCGCAGGAACGGACTGCAGTACTAGATCTCCTTGGTTGGAGAGGTGAGGTGATGGCAGGATACCGGAACCTGGTTACCCAGATTCCTGCTGGGGTGCGTTATCTCAGGAGAGAAATAACAGAACAACTGAAGTCCTATCGAAGGGTCTGACATCGCACCGTTAGAGCAACCCCACAGCTCTACAAACAGAGGCATCTGGGTCGGAGTGTTGTGTTCTGGGTTCGTATAGAGACTCCAAGTAAACCAAAACTCTGTGAGGACCGGGCCCAGCAGTGTCAGTAAATGATGACATTACCCATTAAGGAAGTCTTTCCTAAGAACAAAGGAAGCCTTAAGTTGTCCAGATAAGAAACCTACAAACTCCTGTGTAATATGGCAAAGGCCTCTTCCTCCTTTATCCCACATCCTCCCCTGGGCTTCCATGAGATCCTGGAAAAACAGCCCAGGCTGAGCTTCCCTCGGGGTGGCTCCTATGGGGCTGAAAATCTGATTCTCCACTTACAGCCTGTAACCCTCGTCAGGATCTGAAGGGAAGAGGGGCCGCATTCATCTTCGCAATAAAAGGCCCCTATCAACCTAGAATAGAGGCTCTCGCACCTGGTATTAGAGCGTTGTCTAAGGGTTTCTGGGTAGTAGTTTAAAGACTAAGGCTTGTAAATGCTATACTCTTAAAAGGAATGTCACTGTAAAGTTAGTCACACAAGAAAGTCACTCGTAGACATCTGTGTGCTTTCTTGAATGAGGGAGGAAAAGGTGGACCTGCAACTCTCAGCCCGAGAGCATCGTTTGTCATGTGTCGCGGTGACTAAGAAGTTGATGGCCACTGGCTCTTCCAGAGCAGGAAGTACGGGAGCCCCCTGTAAAGAAGAGCCCAGCGGATCGCAGGGATGACAGATCTGTGGGAGTGTCCCAAGGTCCTAAACTTGGGCAAGGAGAAGGTTAGGAAATGCTGTGATGCAAAGCGAACTGGGCAGAGGCACGCACGCGAGGCAGGACTCGCCCCTGCACGCTCCGCAGAACGTGTTGCTACTCGCAATCAAAACAGAGAAGCAGCCGCAGAGCTGTAACTCCAGGTTCCATACCGGTTCCGGGGGAGACCAGCCTTTATACGTGGGGGTGGCGCTGAGCCCTCTCCCCTCAGTCATTTGTGGGAGACCCGGTTCGAGGCCACAGACACTGTTGTAGGCAATGCCAGCTGATGTCACAGTCTGAGCAGACCAGTCTCTTGGTATTGCCCATGTCCCCTGGGAAGCCCGCATCCTCCAAGACGCACTTGTCTACCAGCCCGGAGAAGGTGGCTCCCTCAGCCAGGGCGGGCTTCTTTCTCGGACGCAGAGGGAAGGGAGGGCTGCGGGCGGGGCGGGCGGGTGGGGGGGGGGAGGAGCGCCCGCAGGAGAGGGTCCCCGCATGGGCCACCGCCCCCACCCCCTACGTGGGCCGACCTGCTGCCGCCACGCCCGCCACGCCCCCCTCCCCCCAGCCCATCAGCCGCTGCGCAGGCGCAGTAGCGCCTTCCTGTTCAGGTTTTCGCCAGCGGTTCGACAAATACTGTGATGCACGACTAATAAACCCTGTTCAAGGACCGAGTACTCTATTCAAAATTTGTCGAGAGGAAAAGCGATCGCTTTCTCATCCTTTTATCCATTCAATTATCTATTATTTGTTGAGCATTAGCTCACTACTAGCTGAGAGGCCCTGGGCAAGTTGCTTAACCCACTTGTGCCTTAATTTTCCAATCTGTAATATGGGGACAATAACTTCACAGAGCTGATATAGAAATTAAACTAGATAACAAACCTCATTTATTGAGAGTGGTTCCTGACACACCATAAATACTTAATGAATATACAATACAAAGCTCCGTTATGAACGCGTTCAGGCTAGTTTCCCTCCCTCCTCGGTTCCTGGGTCAAGCCCACCTCCATGTTTGCGTTTGTCCTTCTTGGCCCCTCTTGCCCACCGACTACGCGCAGGGTCCCTCGCCCGCAGCTCTCCAGGCTCCCCGGGGATCCTCGCCAGGCCAGATGAGGATCTGGGCTGTGTCTTCTCTTTTTCTCCCTCACTTTGGTTATTTGTGGTTTTATCATTTCAGTGCCATTTTCTTTTTCAGGCCCTCCTGGTACCCCCTGCCAGGTCCCTCTGAAGGCTTTGTGGCGGCTGCCTGGAAGCTAGGGAGCACTTCGCAGTATCCCTTCATTGGCTTGTTGTCAACAGCGCTCAGAGGCGACCGAGACTCCTTAAGTGGGAAACTCCCACTCTCTCCCCCTTTCTGTAGGCCTTGCTGTTAGGATCAAGTAGGTTCTTTTCCATCTCTTCCCCCACAGAGATTTTTTCATATAGATGAATTCAGGGTGTGAGCATTTCTGTACCCCAAACCCCCTTCTTTCCAACACAGGCACCTTTTTCTAGCCACAAAAATTTGGGTAGCCCTGGCTGGTGTGGCTCAGTGGATTGAGTGCCAGCCTGCAAACCAAAAGGTCACCAGTTCAATTCCCCATCAGGGCACATGCCTGGGTTGTGGGCCAAGTACCCAGTTGGGGGCGTGTAAGAGGCAAACAATTAATGTCTCTCTTGCACCGCAATTGTTTCTCTCCCTCTCTTTTTCCCTCTCTTCCTCTCTCTAAAAAATAAATAAATAAAATCTTTTTAAAAATTAGGTAATTATATAATCAAAGGCAGGCATTTTCTCCCCTCCTCCATCTTTTCATGTCTGCACATTTTCACCCCACTCCCCACACCCAGGGGAAACCATTTATAAGAACACATTATAAATGGTGTCCTCCTTGAATTGTGCAACCCAGCAGCATGACCCAACTGTCTGCGTAGCTGTGTCCTCCTGTCCTCTACCCCATCTCCTCTCGTGGGCTCTTTGTCCTTGCTAGACCATCATGTTAGATACTGAAGTAAGTGCGCAGTGACAGGGAGAAAGCCATCTTGCTGACAGAGGACAGTGTCTGAAGAAGACAGCACTTGATGCTCCCAGAGCTCAGTGTGATGCTCATCCAGCCAAGTGGAGAGACAGTGACAGAGCCCAAAGGGCCTCTGCCCATCCCCAGCCCAGGAGCTGTTCTGTCTTCACCTCCTGGCTGCACAGGGGGAGGCCAGGCAGACACCCACTCCACCCCACCCCAAGGAGGAGTCTCCAAGGCGGAAGGCTGCTGGACATATACTGTGCATGCCTGTGGTCCAATTCTGAATTCACAGGGCCACCCAAGGCTGTCTCAGGAGAAGTGCCAACTCCCTGGCAGACGGTGGAAGAGGGCTGGCAGCCACGCAATCTCCTTGTAATTCCTACGTGTTCTTTGGGGCAAAGGATGGGCCCCGTGCCTCCTCTGTCTCTTGACCAGGTGCTCAGTTCCTTTTTCATCTCCGAATCTGCGGCCTCAGAGGCTGCCCCGGGCGCTCCCTCCCCATCATCCGTTTTAATTTTCTCCATGGCCCTTCCTCCCGCTGATGTTACAGGACCTGCTCGTTGTCTATCTCCCCCCCCAGAAGAGAAGCTTCTGGAAGACAGGGCGTTTCTGACCCAAGGTAGTGCTTAGGAAAAAGCCAGTGAACAACCTGGTGAATGAGTGGGAGGGCAACAGCTCCATCCCACTGAAGGAGCTTCACGGGCCTTCAGCGATGGCCTAACCGGTTCTGCTCATTTTTCATGGAACAAAACTGGAAGCAGCCCAGAGATTCTAAGCGACTCCTCAGATCAGACACTAGAACTGGACTTGGTGTTTTTCAAGGAACTTTCAAGGCACACTCTCCCTATCTGACTTTCTCCATGCTTCCTGAGGAATGTTCTGACAAGTGAGGCACAGAGGCTGAGAGAGGCTGGAAGGGGCCGGGGGTGGGGCTGGGGGAGGCTGGGGGGAGCTGGAAGGAGCTCAGACTCACACCGCCAGAACTTAAACTCAGGTCTGTCTAACTCCAGATCTGCTACTTTTAACCACTAGGTTGGGATGACAAATATATTTCATTTCAAGAGCCAAGTGCAATTAACTGGGAATGCTTCCTGGGGCCACCATGGTGAGAAGGAGTCTGAGGCTATATTCAGGCTTAATAGACAAGAGTGTGTGATTGATTAGCCATGTCTGCCACAGACCCGGGGTGGGCAGTGTAGCAACATTATACCATCCCTGGGACCAGACAATGCAATATTAGGCTCCTTATCCAGGAATCTTTCTCTCTCACCATACTGCTTCTAAAGCCAATATTTCTATAGTTCCTGCCTCAACAGTAAGAAGCCTTATTGAAAGGCTGCCAGGAGCTGCTGGGTTGGAAGTGAGCAGACCACTGTTAGAAAGGAACCAAATACATATTTGGCCGTTCCAAGATCTTTTGTCCATCACGCAGGGCTTAGGTTCACCGCCATGTAAGAAGGGCACAAATATGCTAATGAGAGGAGGGCAGATAATCCAAAATCGTTTCTAGCTCTTTGTGGAGGGATTACATGACCTCTGACTGACCTCTGGCACCGACTGACATGATTTTGTTATTTTCTGAGTCCACTGAGGGCAGGACACATCCCTGCAATGTGTGATGTCATGGTGGGACTGGACCACAAAGCAGGAAGCCCATCATCCCAGAATGAGCACAGAGTGAGTGGAGAAGGCCAAGCCACCACGGCCGGGACTCCCGGGAGTT